AATCATCAGTTGGTCGTTGAAATTGAACGAATCACATTCGAAATCTCCCAAAGCCATGCAGCGGGCTATGCACTTATGTCAATTGATTACACTCAGACTCTAACCTGCCTATAAGCAATTGATTGTAGCTCAACTTACTTATATTAAATTAACTCACCTAATAACTTAATATCTTTAAGAGTTAGAAAAAGGAAAGAAGATAAGACAAAACAAAATGAAACAACGTTGATGAGTTATGCATGTCATGTACCTATGTGTGTGATTTGTATGATTGTTATATAATCATATTAAAAAGTGTTAGTAAAAACAAAACTTCAACAAAAAATAAGCCAAGAATTGAAACAGCAAGGAAAAAAATTTATTTTGTATTTCTAAAATCATTCATAAATTCAACAGCAAACACATTCACATATAAATCAAGACAATTAACACATCAGAAACACAGTATACCACATTCAACACTCAGTACACTAAAACTTATCTTTTCAATCTTGGCCAATGTAGATGACTTCAATGGTAGAGCCCATCCTAGGCCTTCTGATACGGTGCACTGAGCTCTGATTAAATGAAGCAGAAGTATTAATAGGACTAGAAACAGTAGTGGCAAAAGTAATGTTATAATAATTAAATTCTACAATTAAATAATAATTAAATTCTACAATTAGTCACAGTTGATAAATATATTGTTAACAATTACGTTTTATCATAAAACTTTTAATAAAAGTTTTATAATAAAACGTAATTGTTAGCAAATGTCTTTTATGTTAACTCTCCATTAAAGTCATTAAATTAAACTAGAAGAAAAAGAGAGGAAAGCAGATATGAAAAAGGATCCATATTCATTTTTTTTATAATCATAATGGGCTTTGCACATCTCAAAATAATTAACATCTTTTTAGGAATCTGCTGCTGAGTGTCTCATTCTTAATCTTCCATTTATAAATCATATATAATTGGAAAAAAACATCAAATCAAGTCGCAATGACTAAGTACTTAATAATTAAATACTTAGTCATTGCGACTTGATTTGATGTTAAATTTTAATATAAGTTTGACAAAATGGCGACGAACACTCATGGCGCACTTCAAAACCCCTAAACTGCCAATTAAAATCGGCAAATTTTCATTCACAAACTTTAGCAAATCCTCAAAGATCAAATTGTAATAAATTTCATAGCATATTTAAATGAAAAAATCATCAAATACCAGATTCTTTTCGAGAAAAGCAACCGCGGCAAAGGCAGACGACAAGTGGCAAGCGAAAAGACGAACCGGCGCACCTCCCCCGAAATTACAACCAGCGGAACTGAAAAGACGCGCCTGAGCTGCTCCTTATATAGTGCAACGCTCAGACGCTATAGATAGGCCTACGAGCATGCGCCGACTCCAAGCGTGCAAAAAAAAGAATTCTTTTTTTATTTACTCAAGCGCTTTTTAACCGTTAAAAAGACTCATTCGAATTTGAAAATGACGATTTTTTGACAAAGTATTATGTACAAAAATTGTACATATATGTGTGTATTTTTGTATATTTTTGTCATTATACTTCAACCTTGATAGAAAAGTTGGCCTTTAGATAAAATACTAATTTTTATATATTTTTTATTAATTTTCATATATTTTTTCTATGCTTTAATAAAATAAATTCAATGGATTAATTCTCCATCGGCCTTATTTCGTCTAGCACTCTGGCTG